TGTAAAGATCAGGTATCATTAAATAAGCTAAAATGTAGCCTACAAGAAAAAAGTAGTGAAATATGGGAATTAAGGGGCCTAGTTGGGAAAAAGCTTCGGATAGCTGTGTTACTCTCTAGAAAGTTTTTATACATGCGCCGCTGAATAATTTTGCTCTTGACTATACCTTCACTGGACGTTTTATTCACCGACTTCATTGAGGTGCGATTCCCGACAGAGGTAACACTTCTTTGCTCCATTTGTAGTGACAAAGATACTTATTTAGAAAATTCTTTTTAACCAAATAGTACGGAATAAAAGTTTGAAACTTGCTGAGCATAATTATGAAGATTCATTCTAGACGACATGTATGAATTTTACCTCGAATTTTACCAATTGATATCATAATTCAGGAGCTAATCACGTCCAAATTTCACTTATATTTACAGTATAAATTTTCCCTACATAAAGTGAAAATTAATTAAAATAGATATACATGTACCCTCTAGTACACTTTCAACTACTGATCCTCCAAATTTGGTGTAATTTGACCAAACCGTATGGAAGAAATAAATTTTGAAAAATTACCTTACAAACACTGGTTCGATTAGCCCTCTTAAGTACAAAAAAGAAAATTAGTCCAAAATTAATTATAAAAGACGTTCGAGAAGAAGATATTCAGGAAGAAAATGAACAGATATCGAGAAATATTATTAAACAAAATAAATTAATCAGTATGAGCAATAATTTTGAATTTAAAGTAATACGTAAAATGGATCTGAAACCAGGATCCAAACGAGAGCAGTTGATTAACTTAATCGTAGCAGTTGACCCAACAACAAGACTAAGCATTCTAAATAAAGGAGCATTAAGTGTAGGATGGAAAATGTGTAGAGTAAAAGATTCACTACACGTTAAGCGATGTTACAAATGTGAATATTTCCATTTGACAAAATGCTGTAACAATATTACAACAGTATGTGCAATATGTGCGGGAAGTCATGAATCGAAGTTATGTACAAATTTAGAAAATAGCATTGGAAAACAGAACAACAACTAGATCTTCTTGGACTCTACAGGTTTCAGCTGGTGTCAAGTTTCTGCAGACAAGAAAGACATCTGGGGTGCTGCGATATATGGAAGCAAGGAATTAAAATACAAAGTGCTTAAAAAATTAAACAGTGTTTCAGTAAGTGGAGTTTTTGAACGTGCTGCAGTAGAGTTTACTTTACACAAAGAGCAAATTATTGTTATAGTGATATACAGACCTCCTAATGGACAATTAGATATGTTTTATGACAAATTAGAATCAGTGTTAATTAAGATTTTTGAGGAAAATAAAATAATTTTCATTGCTGGAGATTTTAACGTAGAAATGAAAAATGATAATAAAAATAAAGAAAGACTTTTCCCACAAGTAAATTCTTTTAATGTTCATAAAATGCTCTGGAAGAGAAAATTGTAAATTATATAGTATAGTAATATATAGGTTCTTTAGTGAGAAAAGTAAATGCAATTTTTTTAGAACGTTTGCATGATCAAACATGGGATGAAGTATATAATTGTGAAAGTGATAATGTCAATAAACAATGGATGTGCTTTATGCTTAACTTTTTAAACATCTTCAATGGATGTTTTCCTCAGAAATTAATTAATTTTAAAAATAAATATAAAAAATATAAGAACAGTGATAACCCACTATTAAATGAATGTAAGAATGGGCTAGATATATTGTTAATTCTCTACGGAAACGGCAGTAATTATAAACTTATATATATAAAAATGAAAAAAATAAGGTACAATAATTTGTTAGCAGAGGTGAGGAAAGATATGTATGAAAATAAAATTGTAAATTCAGATAATAAAATTAAATGCATATGGTCTATACATAATAAAATTACAGACAAACAAAGCAAAAACGACAATTTTACAGTAAATAGTAACCCCATCAAAATTGCAAATGATTATAACAAATATGTATTGAATATAGTCCCAGGCCTTCTTGAAAATTTAAACAAAAATTCCTTTTGAATGTAATATTTTAGATAATAATCAATCGATGTATTTGAAACCCTTAACTACAAGTGTATTATTAAATATGGCTAAAGATCTTAAAAATAAATATAGTAGCGACGAAGACGAAACTCCAACCAATTTAGTAAAATTTTGAAATAAAAGAGGTATTATTAAATATGATTTGAACGAAACAACTACTCAGCGGGCAAATACCTCGACTTGCATTGGATTATACCTTCAAATCATGATAGATCGGTAGCCACTATCATTTGTCAATTCCTAACCAGACATCGACCGGCTTCGAACTTACTAGTTCTCCTCAGTATGCCATAGGTTATGGAACAGACAAATGATAGTGGCTAAGCTGCTAGTCATATACTAACTAAGGTAAATTCAGTAGTGGTGAGAGGTATGTGAAACTTCTCATATGGTCCAAATGCTACATCCGTCCGACATCATAGATGTCTCTGTGAGGGATAGCGACTTACGAAGCAAGTACCGAGAGCGGCGACCTCTAGCCCAGGTGGACTAAACTACTGTTATTAAATATGATTTGAACGAAACAGCTACTTAGCGGGCAAAAACCCCAACCTGCATTGGATTATACCTTCAAATCATGATAGATCGGTAGCCAATATCATTTGTCAATTCCTAACCAGACATAGACCGGTTTCGAACTTATTAGTTCTCCTCAGTATGCCATAGGTTATGGAACAGACAAATGATAGTGGCCAATCTGCTAGTCATATACTGACTAAGGTAAATTGAGTAGTGGTGAGAGGTATGTGAAATTTCTCATATGGTCCAAATGCTACTATCCGACCGACATCATAGATGTATCTGTGGCGGAGAGCCAGGTAGACTAAACTACTATTATTAAGAGGTCGCATCAAATGAGGAGCAGACCTGCAACATGTTCTTTGTCCATTTTTACATGTTTTCAGTAAAAAGCAAAAACAGTTGGCAAAAAAACTAAATACGTTACATTGACATTTCATACATCTTAAATTAACTTAAACAACTGTGGATTTTAGTACAAGAAGTTTTATTTTTTGTTTAATAAAAGTAAAAAATATTTGGACATAGTTCGAATGAAAGTCCAAAATGGACAATTTGCAGTATGTTAGTCGAACAATTTTCTTTAAATATTATAAATATGTTTTGTGAATTGTAAAAATAAAACAAAATAAAAACAGAAATTGTAACATCTTCTTGACATTCTAATTAAACTTTTTTAACCCATTTTCAACAAAGTACAGAAGTTATTCACAGCAAGTTTGTATTTTCAAGATCATTGCATTCACCTATTGTCACACGTACCGAGAAGTTCACTACACTGTTAAAAGTATTGTAATAATGAATGACAATTAAACTGAACTTTGTTTCGCGTTTGTTAACAAAGTAGGTACATTCTGATTGTCTTATGACAAGGGACAAAGAGCATTCTGAATGTCTAATCACTTTTGTGACGTATTTATAATGGAATTAAGCACAGTATAAATATCCAGTTTATGTTAAATAGGTATATCTTGGTCGTGAGAAGGTAGTGCCATTTGTAGTTGAAAAAGTTAAAATGTTGCAAAACGCATTTTTTTGTAGTAATGCCAAAAATAACTAAACATTTTTTGGTTACGATTTGATATTATAGATAACATTAGCAGCGTCTAGATGCCTCAGATAATGTGTCTAATTGTAAAAGCTATGTGGAGTGAACTGCATGAGAGAAAGATTATTGAAACCGATAGTGATAAACTTACTGAAAGTATAGAATTACAAGACTTCGACAACTATTATGACAATTCAGTTATTGAAAGTGTTTTGTGTGATTGTAATGTTTAACATGAAACTGATCTTGATTATGACAGCTTAAATTAAGTTAATCATATCTGTTAAGGAGTTCCTCAGGGCTCGATATTAGATGCTTTGATTTTTATATATTTTCGCACTTCGTAAGTTATTATTATTATGAAACATTAACGTGATTATTATTATTAATATTGTGATGACGGTTGAGGGACTGAAATATATTCAGACAGCCAATGAAATATCTTTAACAACTCTTTCAATAATAATTCAGCCTTGTACTGTAACTTTTTTACCACATATGTTATTTAAATAGTGTCGTGCATAATGCAACAGGATAAGTTATTATGCAACTACCATAGTATACAAATTTTCCTAGACTATATATTTAATGAAACAGTGATAAGAGATAAGAAAACTTAGGCACGTTTTGTGAGATTTATTTCTAAATAGACAGTTATAAATCTAATTAATCTCGTAACTAACCAAGGATTTAAAAAACTGATTAAAATAAAAGGATAATAAATAAAATTGACATTTATATTTTTTCATTGTAAAATTTTTCAATTATATTTTTGGATAATTGTTTAAAAACATATGTTTAGTATGTATTTATTAAGTGTATTCTATATTTGATTTAAGTGAACATACTGATAGTAATGAGTTTTTGTAGTTTTTCTCTCTATTTCATTTTAATAAAAATAAATAAACGATTAAAGAAATTCCAGTAGTTTTCATTTTAGATGAATACGTAAAGGTAACTCATGTCTTGGATGTAAATAATCTTTAATTATTCCCTATATCATTAATAGAAAAAACAAATTCAAATGAAACAAAGAAAAACAAGGTTTTATAACAATTTCATAGTAAACAAATTTATTTATAGATATTTAGGAATATTAAGAATCTTTCACTTCTCTTAATGTGACATCAAAAAAGAATCTTTTGATATATTGAAATCTCATTTCTAGATTTGCAAATATGCATATTAAATAATAAAAACACGCTCACAGAATTTTGAATACATGTACATATCTATGAAGTACCTTACTATTGAATCAATCAAAATGAAAACGCGCTCTAATTTCTTTCCGCATATCAAATCTCTACTCTATTATTAATCTATTTCAATTACCAAAAAAGTTGATAAAATTAAAAATATACAGCTCATAAGGTGTGCTAATCACACAAGAAAGTTTAACAGCTTCGTGATCGAGTGGTAAGATCACTTGCCTCTCACCCTGGAGTCACGGTTTCGAACCCCGGTCGAAGATCCTAGGATTTTTCTAAACCGGAAATTAATCCTAACATACTCGGACATTGGGTGTGTGTCCATTGCATCTAAATGTGTATCCCTCTCCCACACAAGGTACTTTCAGTGATGCAGGTGGTAATATTACCTGTGGTGTTAAAAAAATTTATGCAAGGAGGTGACTGATGCTAAACAAAATTTTGAAAATTTAAGTAAATTTTTACATGTTCCAGAATAAAATACGACTCATATATATGCGCGGTCATACAATCTTGCAACTAATTACCAGTAGACATTAGTTTTACATTTACATAAATATCTAGTAGGGAAATGATAATTCTTTTAATAAATGGTCGAATCTTAAATGCTTTAATGTTTAACTGTGTGATTTGAAATTAACGTAATATTTTCCCCAGTATTTCTGAAGATTTTTCAGCATTTGCTAAATTTATAAATACGGGACGGTTTTTTTATTATGTAAGGAAATTGATGAGTGTTTCTTCAATACTGAACATCATTCACTATTTTTTAAACCTACCATTCTATCAATAATAAAAGATGCAGGAAACACCAGAATTGGCCACATTACCATAAACACCACCGCAGTCCAATCAACGGCACTAGCACTAACATTATAAAATTTCATCACTATATTTGTTATTATTGAATATTCGACCCATTGGAAAGTACTTATTGTGGCATAAATAATATACAAAATTAGAATGAACCACCTTTTTTTGAGGCTTTAATAATCGGCACAATTATTTGTTCTTGAGCGATATCATTGTTTTTTAACATAGGCAGATGGTTGTCTTCCATCTTGCCAGTTTGTATCAATTAAATCTGACAAAAGAATAAATAAATAATCAGTTTTGCCATTTATATGGAGTAGGGAACGTCAAACTGATAATTTTCACATTTTCTACTTAGCTACCTAATCATCATCTTATTGGAGATAAAAACATATTTGATATTTATGTGTCGCATGAAAATATATTTCCTTAGTAAATTTACGTATAACAAAATTATGCAAATATAATAAAACGACTAAACATAATATACTTTTTGCTTATTATAACAGTGTCGTATTTCTATTAAAAGTTTTTTTTTTATTTAATTCCACATATTTGTTTTTTCCCAAACGATTTTTCTAATAATAATTGTTGTGTTCAATCAATCTTGTATTGAAAGGTCTGGATCTCTTCTACGTAATAATTATTAGATTATTACGCGAACATGGAATACTGCAAACAAAGTTGTTATTTGAGTTATACGCGCAGGTTTTATTTTTGTAAAAATAATATATCGCAAAAGGGTTTTCAGTTTGAAACATTGTCGTAATATTAATTTTATCACCGATAAGACGTATCTTTTCATATATTCAGTGTACATAAGAAATTAATGTCTTATTCTGATTTTTTGTGTTACTTGTAAATTTTATTATTTTCTATCTTTGCTAAAAAAATATACCTACAGTACACTAATTGAGAAAATAAATACACTTTTTCATGTGGTGTGGCGCAGTCAATTTGGATACGCTACTGCCTACGATACCGGTAGCCTATTGCTATAGCCAAAGGGGTGCATAAAAAAAAATCACTTTCTTGCATGTTATGAGCGCACTGCAGTCAATATATCTTCGATTTGCATTGGAAAACCGAAAAGCCGACTTATTATTATCATTATTATATTGTTTTCAACTTATTGCTGATCATTATTTTCGAGATCTAATCATATTTATACATACTTTCCAAAAGTTCTTCAGGAACAGCCTCAGTATCTGGATGTTTATAAACCTATTTGAGACTATTTGATTTGTCTATACGAAAATCCAACATTCTCAACTAAAATTTTATTAATTTTAGCTACTTTGATTCAACAACATTGCAAGAAGTAACCAAAATAATCAAATGTTGACATTGTTATTAATGAAGTCACCAAAATCTTGTTAAACACAATTTCACGTCAAACATTAACTATGTTACATCTTTTGTTACTGGTCTCAATTCTAACGTATTTTTTAACACTTTGTAATTTTTCCAGTTTTTCTTGATAAAAACAAAATTTGGAACACACTTAGGCTTAGGATTAACTGAGAGATTAGGGGTCAGAGATTATACTGCTCAAATACATTCTTTGCTACATAAAACAATGAATCAAATTACCAACTGGTCTAATCATATAATAAATGTTTTTTTCTATGTCTAGAAATTCAAATGTTAAAAACCATCATTACATAAATGGGCTTTATTTGAGTCACCTACTTCGAATGATAGTTGCGAGAATAGTTGACATTTTTCAACTTTAAAATAATTTATATTGTTTGCCTATTCAACAAATAAAGTCACAAATTTATGAGATTATTAAGTACATTTTTTTAATATATTATGAAATATGTTTTGTCTGTGAAAGGTTCAGATATTTGTAGACAACTTTAATAAGTGGTCTATAAATTTTTAATTACTATGCAGATATATTGGCCACATACCATTGATAGTTTTAGCTTTATTTTTAACACTAAATTTTTACAGAAGCGTTAAAAAATCGTAACACTATTAATAAATATTGATTGTTGAATAAGACTGACGAACTTTTTTAGCAGAAATCAAGTCCTTGAAACTTATGAAACATAAACACTAGATTAGATATAACTCACAAATGCAGTTAAGCCCTCAAAATATACTACTTCATTTAACCCTATAGCAAATGAACCTATACTTATACCCAAAATAAAACTAAATACGTAACAAACAAGGGCTGTGTTAAATATGGTTTTTAATTATAAGAAAATTGAATCCATAATATTTAGTGTGCCCCGGATGGAGTTCACAAAACTTGTACATTTTTTTATTTTCAATTTTTCGAAGTCATTCCTCATAAAAACTTTGCTTATTTTTAAAATTAAAAGCCGTAGTCAAATATTTGAAAAATTATACAGGGAGAACAAAAACTTAAAAAAATGTGTAACTTGTTCAAGAGTTAAACTACCAATATGTTTCTTTTTAGAAAAAAATGTCAGGAACAATTGTTGTTGGTAATCATAAAACCAACTTAAATTAGGGAATTTCGTTGAACATTTTATGGTTATAAAAATAATTATCAAAATTTGACCAAAAATTAAAATGGTTTTTTTCTTTTTGTTTGCTACAGATTTTTATAAATCTAATATTTCACAATTGTATAAATCAGTAAAATTTTTTAAAGAATACATTTTTTTCTGTAAAATGAAAAATAGAAAAATTTCTCCTCTGTAGCAAGGCATTATCTTGAAAATATTAATTTTTAATGATATCCAATTTTTTCAACGATATTCTTAATTTAAGTCGGTTTTATGATTACGAAAAAAAAATCGTTCATGACATGTTTCTCTAAAAGAAAAAATATTTGTAGTTTACTCTTGTACAAATTTCACATTTTTTAAGTTTTTTATCACCCTGCATAATTTTTCAACTATTTGATTGCGGCGTTTGAATTTTCAAAATTAGCAATACTTTTTTATTGAAAATAAATAAATTTACAAAGTATTATGAACCCCATCCGGGGACACACTGCATGTATCTAATTTCCTTAGAACGAATAAAGTGCATACAAGTTTGCACCATCTAGAAATCATTAAAACTAAATTAATAATAACAATGGTGTCCTGTTTATCTTTATGCTAATCGAGAGGAGAGTTCAGGTATAAATAGACAGTGCTGTTGATGTAAGTTTAGTTTTAATCCTCTCTAGATAATTCTAACTTGATTGGTGAAACGCGGGTCGAGTATAGACCAAGTATTGGTCTTTGTGGACACTGTATTCGGTCCGTTGGCAATAGACAGTAATTTGACCAATTAGAGATCTACTGGAGTCTACACCAATTTGTTTATGCACGGCAAAACCGTATAATATTGTATCTACTTGTTACTGTTACTGCATTTCAATATGATTTTGGAGTGTCAAAAAAATTTGTTGCAAATTTCAGTAGAACTCTGGCAGGTACGTCAAATTACTGTATATTGCTAACAAGGCCTGCGTATACTACAATTTTAAAGGCCTAATATTTTCTTTAATTAATTGTCTTCTTGGTTTTTGCTACGTTAATAAAACCTAAAACCATCGGTCAATCCTTTTGATAGTTTTGATTCTGTAATAAAGAACATTAACATACAATCTTAGAAGACAGATTATTATAACTAATATTTATTTTAGACTTGAGAAGAAGTTTAAAAAATTGCATGATGTTATACATGTTTTCTTTTGACCAATAGTTTTGCGCTATTTATTTTTTTTTTTTTTTATAAAGAAAAATCCTTGGATAAATTATACTTTGTAATGTATTTATTAAATCTAATTATCATTGTCATAATAGAATAATAAAGAATGTATACATAACAAATCGGTGTTTGTATTTCATAATAGTAGTAAGACGTAGGTACAAAACGTGAAGAATACACAGTTATTTTAGGATTAACACATAATAATCACAAATTTAAATATATTAATGTCAATCATGATATTATCTAAAGTGTTAAGTGAGAATTAACATGTATATCGAATGGGATTGAACCAGGTATATTACTTATATTAGTACATGAAGTTTGCGAAATATTATAACTAGTAGATGGTAGTATGATGAATTACTATTTATATAAAAAAAAACATCACAATTAAAATCTTTAAAAATAAAGTAAAGATGTTTTAATCTGTGTAAAGATTGTGATATTTGATATACATTTCATAATTTGACATAAAAGCAGAAACTTTGTACTTCTTAAACACAGTATGTTCTAAAAATCATCTTAAAAAAAATCGCTGCCAATTATTACTTGCGGATCAGAACTTCCTCGCCGTAGTAAAACTCGACATGTGGTGGAGTTTATAATAAAAGTATTTTTTGACGTTTCAAAAAAAAGTCACATTTTTTGACCTTTCAAAAAAAGTCACATTGGTGGAATGTCACTAATATTTTTTTTAGACATTGGGGCCGATTTTGCTGATCAACGAACTCAATCCCTTCCTTAACCTCTAGAATGTGTGTACCAAA